ACCTTGATCTCAAACCCATTGTCTGGATCCTTCTTGCCCTTGAGTGCTGGGTCATCGGGGGGTTCCATGCCCTTCACCCAGTCAGCACTTGTCTCACGTACCGACACCAAGATCCTGTTCGATCAGAGGTGTTAAAATTTGGAGGCGACCTTTATAATCATCATAAGAATCAATATTATAATTATGAACATTATCATCACTATCATCTTCATAATCATTATGGTGAGCATTATAATCTACATAATCATTATAGTTATCATCATCTTCATTACCATCAGTATCATAATGAAGAATTTGAAGGAAGGAATATGCTAATTTTCTGTCTGGTGTGAAAGTTATGGCAATCATTTATGATTCTATAATTGGGGATAACAACTACATGACTTTTTGCAATCCTTGGAAAAGCAGAGATGCAGAAAAAGAGCCAAAAATGGACAGTAATCAGAAACTCTGATAAGACAGCAAAAAAGGGGAGAATACTCAGAATGATTATACAGGAAATACACCCCAAAAGACAGAGAACTAAACCCACAAAATATCAAATAAAGAGCACTGAATCTACATTTAGAAAAATTGGTAAAATTCTATTTAGTTTTTACTTGCAGAAGAAAAGTGGCTGAGATCTGAGGATCCATTGGAGTGATCACAGCATTTTCTTCAACAACAACACCATAATCCTTTTTTCCACCACCACCACTATAACCATTTTACACACACACACACACACACACACACACACACAAATTCTTTGCTTGCATCAGACTTCCATCAGAGGTACAACTTACGTCCTCAAGAGTTCCTTCTTGTTCTTGATGGCCTTACGCAAGGGGTCCCTTAGGGTGAGCTGCACGAAATCTTGCATCTCCTGGTAGATGTTGCGTCTTATTGAGTCGAGGAATACAGTCTCCATGCGAGCCATTAAGACTTGCAGGCCTTTAATCATTGCAATGACTTCGATAAGGGCAAACTTTTCTTCATCAGTGTAATTGTATCGTGTAGCCTGGAAACATAATTGAATGTTACAAGTCATTTATGAAAGAAGAAGTTAATGAATAAATAAGTTTAATAATTCATAATCATAATGGAAATAAAGACAAAAAAGAAAGAAAGAAAGAGAATGAAGAGGATATCAACATGTAAAAGGAGAAAATAATTCCTGTATGTATATAACAAAAATTTTATTACCTCCATTATCATAATTATATTCTAAAAATCAGTTCTGAGAAAGCAATAACATATAAAAGCAAGGAAAATAAAAACAAAAGATTTCATAAACATAATAATAATAATAATAATAATACCTGTATATATTACATAACACAAAAGTAAAGAAGAAATGAAGAACAAAGTGGAAACCACAAGGCACCCCACCACCAAACAAACAGAAATCTGAACAAACCCTTTCGTATTCTTCTGCGTCGGCTGGGCACTGGTTATTGGAGTGGTGGTCAGTGGGGTGCAGCAGCTTCCACGAATAAAGCTCTGTGACAACACTTGTCCATTCACTGAGGAGCTGGAGGCCACGGAGGGCAAGGTCTGCGATGTCTTTATTCTCTGCATCCGTACGTGCCGTTTCCTTATATGTTGTGATGACCTTTGTAGAGATGGAGAGTATAGTTGTAAAGTAATTCATCAAAAGAAATCTTCAAAGGTTATAGCTTACAAAGAGAAAGAAAAGATGCAAATTGAACATTCATTTTTTTTTTTTTTTTTTTTTAATTATAACCATTATTACTTTACTTCTGGTATCTGTTTAGCCTCTCTTATATTATCTCTTACTTGTTAACCTTTCCCCTCACTGCACACCTCTTTCCTGAATTTTGGAATTATTGAAATCTATTTAATGTATTTCTTCTTTTCTCAAAAACTCATCACTGTTATCAAAATCATACTTCATTGTTACATCTCACCAGCACGGGTATATTTTATGTTTAGCCCTTAATTAATAATAATCTTTACAGTAATCTCCCTGCTAATTCTTTTCCCAACAAATACACACCTCATTGCTGTATCTTGCTAACTCTGAGATATACTTGATATGTTCATCCCTAATGCGTGGTAAATGACACATCAGGTCTGCCTGTGGGCTTGTGGTTGATGCACTGCATAGAGGCCACATTTTGGCATCAAAGTTCTTGCTCCTCTTGATGTAGTTGAAAGGTGCAATCTGCATGTCGCCAAACAGTGGAACAACCTCTAGGTTCTGCAATGAAAATGTTGATTAGGGTGCTTGAAATTCTTGCTGATTGTGAATTATTCTGAAAGAGATTTATTTCAATGCCACCAAGTACATTTATGTCCTCATGGAAGACATCAGCAGTTATTGCATCTGCTATAACATTTATCAAAAAGAACTTCCTGACAAAAGCTACAATAACAACTGGCACCTCTTTAAATTTACCTTAAAGATTTTATCAATCTTATCCAACTTAATCTTCTTCTTCTGGTCAAGTTTATTGATGTTACAAATGTCTGAGTCAATGAGGAAGAGACCGAAGCCCATCACCTTGACCAGCATCTGCTTTTCTTTGGGCGTCAAGTACATGCGGTTCTCAAACATGTGCACCGAGATGTTGACAACATCACCTGTAGGAAAATAAGACAAAAATATTCAGTAAAAAATATCCTATAAAAAATATCCTAACATTCTTCTTTGTTTATTCATCTATGATTTCCTCCTTGCTGTAATCCTGATGAACAAACTGATCACTGCCTTAGGACTAGTACTCAGAATGGCCAAATTTTTCAACCAGTGCGGATGATTAAATGCTTGAATCTAAACCAAAACTTACAAAGAAGATCCTCATATGAAGGAATTGCTGTTAGCTTCTCCTTGAGAGTGTCCCTGATCTTGTTCTGAGTGGCCAGGAACATTGACAGATTCTGTGACTCCTGCAGAGACTGGGTATCGCTCATCACCTTGAGAAACTGCGCGGCTCTGTGAAAAAATAATTTTAACATTAAATATGATTTGTTTTATGCATAATTAGTTCACCTTAACCCCTTGATGACGGGTGCACACCACAAATCAAGTGGTTTGTTTTGATGCCTCACAGCATGACCCGTCAGGAAGGGGTTAATACAATTCACTTAAAAGCACTATAGGTCTACTTAATATAAGTGAATAATATACTTCTATTAACAGTAACACATTCTCACAATTTAATAATAATCTATCCAGTGCTCTAATACTCATATCAAAGCACCAGATTCATCTCAATATCCAACTATTGATACATTTGATTACTCTGTCAATTCCCTATAAAAAAATTAATAATTAATGATAAAAACAAATAAAAAAGGGATCTCAGCCTCTTTAATACCATAAATTCCATTAAGCAGAATAGCCTGATGCCCACAAAACTCACCTTCTGTAAGTTGAATAGTCATTCTTCACACTCGACTTCATGTTCTTCAATTCGTCAAGGACAGCAAACATGTTTATGAATTTGCCAAGAGTGAGAAGATAGGCTTCAGACACAAAGTCCTTTCGCTTCTCTTGGTGACAGAGTCGCTTGATTTGGTTGCAGAATACATCAATGGCTTTCCTCTGTTGATGGCAAAAGATTCATTGTTAACTGTGCTTAATTTCTTATTAACAGTAGAGTGAAATGAATGTTATTTCTTAAATTATAAAAAAAAAGTAATTAAATTCATATACACATACACACACACATGAAAAACTTAAAATAATACACTAATACCAAAACATGCACATATACATTGAGATTACCTGGAAATTCATGAACTTTGTCAACTTCTTTACTTCATCCGACAGGACTTTCACCGTTTTCTCATAAATTTCCACGCGATTCGGCTGCTCGTTTGACTTTGGTTGGGGGATGGCACGAGAACAGCACCGCCAAGTATACAGCATAACTGCATGATTTTCACCCTCTTCTAGTAATTTATTCTGAAACAGGAAAACTCTATTTCATACACTGGTAACTTGATTTTTTTGTAATATTAGGAAAGACAGAAAATTTGACTCATTTTAAAACAACATACTTAATGAAGACCAATCCTAACATAGGTTAAGTCACCTAAACTTGCAATGTATCTAAAAAATCATCTAAATGCCATATCAATAACAGTGAATATCTATATTTGTGCGTGTGTAACTTCACTCAGTTCAGAATATTTTTCTTTCCTTATAAGCTTAACATATCAATATTAACTAAATCTACTGAATAATCACTATTCAACGAACCAATTCTGCATGGGTAGCTGCTTCCTCCATGTACTTGGCCACCCCCGTCACGTAGGCCATACGGTCCTCAAAGTTGGTGTCGAAGTTGGCCGTATAGACAACCGAACATGCCTGAGCCTCAATGACCGGCTGCTGGTCAGGCAGCGGCAGGTCATCAAGGACGTCAACATTGCTGAGGGCATCAGTGATGGTCACGCGCTCACCAGCCATCCCGACGCTGCCAGGGATCAAGGGAGAGAAATGGAATTCTTCAAGAGAGGTACAGATAGAAATTACGGACTATGCACCCACAACCAATTTCTTAACAGGTATGGGGATAAAAAGGGGATCAAGTAGTACTTTCTCTTTAGAAAATTTTTGTGGTGAATATCATGATGGCTTCACATATTCCATATGACTGCCTCCAAGTCTGCAATAAGCAACTGACCTATAACTTCTGCTATATTCTGTTATGCAAATTCTTCCAAAGTCACTTCCAAACAGTAGACGGAAGATTCCTACAGAAAGATATTCCGTTCCACTACTTATATATAAAAATATACACAATCCTAAAAAATGTAAAAGGAATGAAGTCATTCTGAATCTTCTATGAAAAGCATCATCAAAATCTAGGCATGCAAAGCATACATGTGTCCTCTCCATTCCTTTAACAAATTTCATGTAAAACACCACGTACAACCAGCAATTCCACCTTTTAACACTGGTGCACCATAAATATCTCTGACCTAAATTATACAAAGAAGGGAAGGCTAACATACAAAAAATACTCGCACTTTTCCCCAGCCAATCA